TTGTAAACAATACTTATTTGGTTCGTGTGGCTTATGTAATATCAATTATTTATTTATTTGCATAATCATTTTGATGTGTTATTAAATTTTATTTTTCATATTGTTTATAATGTTAATAATGTATAGGTTATAATATTATAATTGGTGCCATATTAATATGTTATTAATATATATAAATTCAAAAAAAAATAATATATTAAAAAAATGGGTACATTTTCCACGAATAAATTTTATGGTCTATTTTGGATATTTGTCATGACATATATTTGTGGCCAATTAAAATTATAGTCACGAATAAATTCCGTGGCCTATTTCGAGTATTTGCCACGACATATGTTCGTGGGTAATTAAAATTATAGCCACGAATAAACTCCGTGGCCTATTTTGGGTAGTTGCCACGACATATATTCGTGGATAATTAAAATTATGACCACGAATAAACTTTGTGGCCTATTTTGGGTATTTGCCACGACATATATTCGTGGGCAATTGAATTTATAGCCACGAATAAGTTCTGCGGGAAAAGACTTATTTTACCACGATAAATATTTTCGTGGCAACATGATTGAATTAGCCACGATTCATTCCTATATCGGGATTGCTATCTGCCACGAAAATATTGTTATTTAGCAACGAAATAGCTTGAGTCAATAGAAGGTATTTTACCACGAGTTCAAATATGTGGCAAAAGGTCCATATTTTGCCACGAAATTTTTTAGTCGTGGTTATTGGCATTTTGTGACGGGGCTACACCCACGACTGAGCAACGAGCTATTTCTTGTGGCTAAAAGGCTTTCGCCACAAAATTTGAAAGTTTTTGCCCTGTTTTATCTCAGACCAGTTCGGGTGTTGATCGGGTGTTGTCTCCTATCACGTCCTGAATCATACGTATAGTTCCTAGCTTAATTACTGGACTAAATGTCTCGTAGAAGTCAACCCCTTCTTGTTGGCTATATCCTTTTGCAACAAGTCGTGCCTTCAGTTTTTCCAAACTCCCATCTGATTTAAGTTTTGTTCGAAAAACCCATTTGCAGCCCACAACATTCATGTCATGGGAACGTGGAACTAGTGTCAAAGTATGGTTGTCATTCAATGCTGTAATCTCGTCCACCATAGCAGTTCGCCATCCTGGATGTTTTAAAGCACTTCTGATGCTTTTTGGCTCAATCGGAATGGTAGAATGAATAATACGGTAAATAAACTTAGGATTGGGTTTGTGAATACCTGACTTGTTTCACGTAGTCATTGCATGAGGAGCTTGTACCATATCACCAGGTCTAGTACTTTCAAAAGAAGGAGAAGGCAGATTTGATGATATCTGAACAATAGGTCTTGGTAGGTTGGGCAACAAATGTGATTCAGTAGCAACTTCTTGTGTTTGAAAGTCATTAAACATTCTAGCTCGATCTTGATCTGTGATAGTAGGTGTTGAGATTTGTGTGTCATCACAGGGATTCATCCATTCATCAAATACAGAAAGATGTTCATTTCCCTGCTCAACAAAATTCAAGTTAGATGATGAATTAAAGGGAAATTTTCTTTCATCGGAAACCACGTGTCTAAAAATAAAGACCCGATTTGTAGAAGGATAACGACAACGATATCCTTTATGCTTATCACTGTAGCCCATGAAAATGTAAGGAAGTGATCTTGGATAAAGCTTATATTTACTGTAGGAACGAAGGTATGGAAAACATAAGCAGCCAAAAGTTCAACGCATAGAATATGAAGGAGTTTTATGAAGCAACGTGGTATAAGGACATTCCATGGCTAACATTGGAGAAGGCAACCTGTTTATTAAGAAATTAGCAGTGGAAAATGCTTCAACCTAATAATGTTTTGGAACTAATGCTTTAATCAGCATTGCAAGCCCTAACTCTACAATGTGTCTATGTTTTCTTTCGGCAACACTGTTTTGTTATGGAGTTTTAGGACATGACATTTGATTAATAATTCCTTTATGCGGGAGATAGTCAAGGAACTCTTTTTTTAGAAATTCAGCACCATTGTCTGACTGAAAATTTTTAATGTTCTTGTCAAATTGATTTTCCACCATTTTATGAAACGCTACAAATGTTTCAAAAAAATCAAACTTTCTTCTTAGTGGATAAAACCAACAAAAACGAGAAAAATCGTCAATGAACACTATATAATACCGAAATCCTTGAATTGAAGAAACATGAGCCGATCCCCACAGATCATAGTGAATTTTATTCAAAGGTTCCGCACACCTATTATTTGTAGAATAGAAAGGAAGCTTACAACTTTTTCTAAGTTGACAACTCACGCACAAGCCATGAGATTTCTTATTAACAGAAATCAATTTATTAGATTGTAGATGCTGTAATACTCTTGGTTGAGGATGACCAAGCCGCATATGCCAGACATCTGCATCAGTGGTCTGAAAACAATTTGAGAAGAAGGCCTTGGTCCTAGATTCCTCATAGAGTACTTCATGTTTACTCCCTGAGGCTAATGTCTCATTTGTCTTTCGATCCTTTATCACAAATCCAATGTCATTAAAGTGAAAAGAACAAGGAGAATCAGTTGTAAGTTATGATACAAATAATAAATTTTTCTTAATATTTGGAACCAATAAAACATCCTTTACTGGAATAGTTTTTCCATTACCAAATATTTTCCCCTCACCTGTATGTGAGATGTGTAGCCGCTCACCTTTCCCACCATGACAAAATCTGACCCCTTGTAAGGAATTAATTTAGAGAGCTTACCTGGGTTATCAGTAATGTGTGATGTTGCTCCTGTGTCAGGTAACCAATTTGTATCTTGAGCCTTAGAAATTTGCATTACAGCTAATGCCTTCGGAATTTCTTCATCTTGATAGCTATTGTTAAACCAATGCCAACATTTAAGAGCCTCATGCCCTCTTTTCTTGCATATTTGATAAACAACCACATTATTGTTGTATCATGGTTGTGTTCCTGAAGTTTCTTGATGTCGATTGGATAAATCTCCATCTCGAAAAAATGACCCACGTTGCCCAATTTGTTGGAAACCTCTTCCTTTTGATGTAAAGGATTGTCCACTACCACGTTTATAATTTTTTTTTATTTTCAGATTTTTGACTAAGAAAGGCCATTGCATGATTAGTCACCTCACTTTGATGCCCCTTGCTTCTTAATTCATGGCTTTGAAGAAGACGTATTAAATCTGCAAAAGTTGGCACTGGTGGCTTCAACATTGTTGTAGAAAATGCTTTATACTTTGGTCCTAGCCCACTTAACAACCAAAAGACTTTGTTTTGATCAGACACAGGTTTACCAATTGCATTCAACTGGTCACAAATGGATTTAAAATCTCTTAAGTACTCAACTAGGGAAGAAGTTCCCTTTTTCATATATTGAAGCTTTTGAAGTAGCTCAATTTCTTTTGCTTGCGAGCTTTGTGAAAAGGCATCAGCCAGAGCTTTCCAAACTTCAACAGCTATTTTCAAACCAACAACGAGTCCAAGAACGTCTTCTGTTAGAGAAGCCGTTATCAAAGCTCTCACTAACTGATCAGTGCGTGTCCATGACACAAAATCAGGATTTGCAATCCTTCCTGTTCCATTGGAACCTTCAATCTCTCTCTCTAAAAGAATTATTTCTCCTGTGATGAAGCCAAGCAAGTCTTGACTTTCAATAAAAATAGAGTACTTGTGTTTCCCACAACAAATAATTTGTTGAAATAAGCTCCAATGAAATGAAGTTTGCAACATTGAGGTTGGAAGGGTAAGGATATTTGAGAGTGGATGCTAATGCCATTGTTACTGGCTCTGCTACCATAAAGAACTTTTGAATACAAGTATTTTTGATAGAAAACTCTCTGCTCTTTACATGCCGTAGCAGAAGAGAATTTATATACATTTATTATTATTACAAATTATTTTGAATAATATTGTATAACAGATCAAGATAAAATAAAATACAAAATCCTCTGAAATCAAGGTGGATAACTCAGTTCAAAAGACTTTGAACTTTCTCCAATATTCTTTGTAGGTATCCATTTATCCAAGGAGTCTGGTGCAACAGTTTTTGAATTTAAACTTCGATTCAATCATTTTCCAGGAAGCTTATCCAACGCAATATTTGGATAATTACTGCTTTCTATAGCTCGGTCTGTGTTGGTGTTCTTTTCTCCATCTCTTCGTGTCTGTTCCAGATCCTTCTCCTACTCAATTATGTATTGTAAAGAGAATTTTGTTGGGATTTTACGTATAACATAAGTATGAAATAAAGTACGTATTGTTTGGGATTACGTATTGCTTGGGATGTTAAGTAGATTATAATTTGAACTAGTGTTTCTCCGAGTCAACGACTATAATCTAGTACGATTACTGTGATTAAAATTTAAACTAGTGTTTCTCCGATTAAAATCAATGATTATCATCTAGTAGGGTTATGGTGTTTTTCCGGTTAGGGTCAATGATTATCTTCTAGTCATCTAGTAGGGTTATGGTGTTTTTCCGGTTAGGGTCAATGATTATCTTCTAGTAGGATTATGTTGAGATGTTACGTACAACTTATATTGACTTAAATTACAAACTGCTAGGATGTTATATACAAATAATTTGCTGGTATTTTATGTAACTGTTTGGGATGTTATGCAGTACGTACACAAATAATTAAACATAAATTACAAACTGCTTGGGATGTTATGCAGTACCTACACAAATAATTAAACGAAAAAACAAAAAAACCATGCCATTGCTATGTTAATTTGGAATAAAATGACCTAGTATACAAATAAGAAAGGGAAGGAAAAATTTATGGAAACAAATGAATGAAAAAATAGATTTATTATTCGTTTTGGAAACAAATTAAAATATGTTTATTTTCTGGGCCAATGTTGCTCTATTCCGATGTTGCTTTGTTAATTTGAAATAAAATGACTTAATATACAAAGAAAGGGAATGAGAAATTTATGGAAACAAAGGAATGGAGAAATAGATATGTGATTTGTTTTGAAAACAAATCAAAATATGTTTATTTCCTGGGCTGATGTTGCTCTGTTCCAATATTGCGTTGTTAATTCGGAATAAAATTGCCTACGAAGAAAGGGAAGGAGACTTGTTATATGAAGAAATAGAGTCCTACTTCTATTTGGAAACACAGGTAGGGAGAAATAGAGTCCTACTTCTATTTGGAAACAAATCGAAGCATGGAAATTTTGGGAGAGGATAAAGGTTGCTTCTATTTGGGAAGAATATTTGGAGAGAAATGGTGATTGGATATTTTGAGAGAGAAGAAAGATGGCGGGATTTGATTTGAAATGAAATGGGTTGCTGAAAATAAGAGAGGGAAGAAGAATACGTTATTTGTGAATATTGTATATATATATATATATATGAAAATTGTGTATAAAACTAATACAGATTTTTACCCTCCTGAGTTAATACTATCCATTTACTAAAATAGAGGAAATGGACAACTGTTCGATTGGGCAGGATCATGATACTGAAATCCTCCCCATTCCATCCTCGGCCTTGCCGACTTTTCATGGCAAAATTTCTTCATCTTCTTCAAAATGAACCCGTAGGAAGGTCAGAAATCCTCTACGGAAAAGCCCTCATCTTCTTCTCATTTCACCCGAGAACAAGAACACTCCATCATCGTCTCGGCTCTCACGCACGTGATCAGCGGCTGTGATGGTGATGATCCCACCACTGATCTACTACAAGCCCTCCACCAGCCTTCCGAAAGTGGCGGCACCAACTTCTTCCCGCCAAATAATGAAGAGGAGAAAAAACAGATAAGTGAGAGCAAGAAGAAGTACCAAGGAGTACGGCAGAGGTCGTGGGGGAAGTGGGCTTCGGAGATCCGAGACCCCAAGCGAACAGCCCGGGTGTGGCTTGGCACGTTCGATACAGGGGAGGAAGCGGCGAGGGCTTACGACAAGGCCGCCATTGAGTTCCGCGGTGCCAGAGCCAAGTTTAACTTCCCATTGTCAGATTATACAGACGGATCAAACTCAAACTCGGAACCAAACCGAGAAAATGAAGAGCTTAATCCGAATGCAATTGACAGGGAGACGCCACAAAGCTCACAGTCTAGCAACAATGAAGCGCTCGGACCCAACTCGTCGGAGATGAAGAGTAGCGAGATAGAGACAAGTAAGGAAGAGAGTGAAGAGTTTTGGAAAGACCTTCCTCCACTATAGATATATAGTTAGGAGGATGAGGAGCTAATACTAATATAAATAATCACAACCTACATTGCATGCATTACGTACAATTTTACGGAAGATCATCATGTTGATGCCATTGGGAATTCTAGATTTATGAGTTAGGTGTCAAATTCAGCCAATATTTAGAGCTGCTTTGCTGGGTTAATTTTAAATATGCACACACATATGTGTGTGTGTTGGCAGTAGATGGGAATTGTGAACACTTGAGTTGACATGGTATGAACATGTTTCGTGGGGTCGTTTGATGTTTGAAATAGACACTAATATGCTTATGCCCTTAGTTTAGTTGATTCGAAAACAGTCCCCAGATGTTCCAGAAAGTTCCTATACATCGTCAACAAAAAAATAACAAAAAAAAAACCAAAAGACAACTAATTTTTGTGGAAAACATCTTGTTACTATTTTATAATAATAATACTAATAAAACCCAATGAGATGTAAGAAAATGATTTCCATTTTTCTCGTAAAATAAGAAATGAGTACATTTCACATGTTGAACTTTGAAATTGGCTCTGTTCACGAATGTGCATAAACTAGCGTGAAATTTTTTATCAACGTGCATGGTTAGAATTGAATGCATGATTTAGATTTTTTGGCGCGCTTGGCACTAGAGAGTCAAATATTGCTTAGAGCAGCTACATTAGTGCTCCGTTTGGCGAAAATGGAGTAGCTTTTGGAGATTGCATGTTCCAATGGAATATGGAAAAAGTGGACCCCAAATTTAGGCTCTCCATGGAGGTCGCCAGAAAGGGCGACTGGGAAGGCGATAGGGCTCACTTTTTGTGGGCCCATTTTTGTATTATTTTATTTATTAAATTCAGGCCAAAACACTGTACGAGCCTAGAACACATTTCCTAAAGGCATGTTTCACTGAAATAAAAGCTAAGGCCTTGCTTGGATTGCATTTCAGAGAACTGTTCTTGAGAACAATTCTCAAGAATAGTTTTCAAAGAACAGTTTTCAATTTTTTCAGATTTCAAACCTGCTTGGTTAAGAGAATTTGCAAAACAGTTTCCGGAAAACAAAAACTCATAAAACTACTTGGTTATATGAGTTTTTGAAAATAGTTTTCTGAACTAAGAAAATAAATAAAAATATTATTGTACCTCATTTTATTTTTATTTCTTTAATTTATGATATTAACTATTAATGTAAATAAGTGTTAGAGGTAAATTCATTTTAGCTAATATTCTTAACTTAAAAACAGTTACACAAATACATATATTAAGTTTAATTACAATCCTCTTTCTGCATAACTCCAAAATGGAGGTTCTGTTTGGTGCTTGGGAGCAAGCTAGCGTCCAAAGATCTCTATTAAGTCATTGAAGTGTACTTTTGGAGTTATGTAGAAAGAGGATTTTGGAGTCCAAGTTTTGAAGTTTTGGTTAGTGCTACTGTGCAAGCTGGTGTTGAAGACATTGTTGTGTCATTTTGAATTATATTATCCTTAAAATAAGGACTTTTGTTTGTATGGTTGTATTTGTTTCCCCTTCATGGGACTCCATGTACATTCTTCCTAAATTTAAATACAATAAAAGAGTTACATCAAACATTATAAATTAAATCATAATAAAAGGTGCACTAAAACAAAGTTTTCATAACACAAAACATAATAAATTGTCCCCCACATGAATATAACATAAAGTCACATGCATAGGAAAAATAAATAAATAAATAAAAATAAATAAAATAAAAATATAAGGCATAAGGAAATTGTTCAATAACACATAAAACCAAATATGTGTTTCAAGTCACATGCAACCAAAAACTAAACCCTGCATTCAGTAACCATCCAAATCAGTCCAAGCTCTTCAACCAAGCAAACTTCAAGTCAGTCCAAGCTCTTTAACCAAGCAAACTTTAAGTCAGTCCAAGCTCTTTAACCAAGCAAACTTCCTAGAAATACTCATTTTAATGAACAATTCTCTATAGTGCAATTCCTTGCACTTTTCAGTTGCCTTCAAATATGTGTCATCATCTATCTCATCAAGACCCTCAAGGCATTCAATACAATTACGTAGAGAGTATGCATCTGGGCTAGTTGCCTTTTGAGTATGTTTCATTTTCTTATACGTCTTCGCCTTAGCTAATGAAGCTTCAGTCCTTGCTTTGGAAGCTTCAGCAATACAAGCAAGAGTATTGCTAATGGAATCTTTTTTACTCTCCTTTTTTGCACGACGATTAGAGGATGTGGATTTACGACGACGAGGGTTATTGTCTTCAACTAGAATATTATTTGAATCATCTTGACCTTCAGTAGTTGAATTGTAACGACCCGGTTATTTTCCTTCCTTTCCCTTTTTTCTGAAATTTTACGAATAAATTTTTTTCCGTTTAATTTTCCTTTCTGAATTCGGTTTCTCGTCGCTTAGTGTCATCTCGAGTGCTTGGAATTGGTTTCCAAGACTCTTTTGTATGGATTGAAAACTTCCTTTGAGGACCGAGTCATTTTCACATTTTCACTTTTCGGACACTATTAACTTTTTGTCCTTTTCCCTATTTCGTCATTTTCCCTATTCTGTCTTATCTCCGTTTGTTAGTTTTTGGCACAACCTCACTTTTCGTGCTCGGAGTTAGTTTTTGACTTCACATGCCTTCATCTTGAGTGGTTTCCACAAAATACGTATCTTTGCTTTTGTAAGAAAGTACTCTAGTTACTCCCGGTGTCCATAGGGGCATGAATGCACAATTTTTCAAAATCTTTTTCTTTTCTTGGGGTGTGTTTCGTAAATATATTTTGAAGATATTTTATTTCAGGGGCATCTAAGAAAATATCTTTTGGAAGATATTTTCATTCTGGAGCAGTTTCGCAGTTAACCCTTTTTGTAGGGGTCATTGTATAATTAACGAAAGTTATTGCAAAAATACCTCGTCTGGAGCCTGGATCCTTGTACAGGATTCATTTTCACATTTTGTCGAGTCGTGTACTCTTAGAATTCCGTTCTGGTCATTTTTCTCTAGTTTCAGAGTTTCTGGACCCGATTGCCGTCGAACTTGTTCGGGGCATATCTCTTTGCTCGGGACTTAGTTTTCGATGCTGTTTCTTTCTTTGTTCATATTTTCTCATTTTCAATCTTTTTTGTTAACGGAGTTTTGCCGTTTGAGCGCGTTTACTCAAATTCCACTTTTCCAGACCCGGCGGGACCATTTCGGGGCACTTTTTGAGATTTCTATAAATAGGTTGCCCTAATTTTTAAAATCAGATTTTCAGACCTTCTTCCTCTTCTTGGCCGGCAGCCATGGGAGCCTAAGGGGCTGCCTTCAATCTTTCTTCTCCTCCACTTGATTTCCTTAGTGAAAACCCTTCGGTCTTAACGTTTATTGTTCGCCTTGACGCCGCGCACCTTTCCCCCTTATTAGAAACCATTTTTTGCCAAATTTTGAGTTCGGGTTTGAAGTCAAGTTGTGATTTTCATGGGGCTTCTTGGATATTCTTGTTCACCGTGTTGTCCCTGACAAAACCTTGAAATATTGTCGGATTCGGAGCCATTTCATTTCGGTGGGGATTTGAAATTTTCATCTCAAATTGAGGTAGGAGGTGTTATAGATTGTTATTCTTGTTATATTGCATGCTAGTGATGTTTATGCAACTTATTTACATGCTTTGGTAACAAATCTAGAGATTTTATTATTTATTTTTCTTGTGGATGATTTGATTTTCTCGATTGATTATAGCTTTGTTTAAGTATGTGGTATGGAATTTTATTACCCCTTGATATGGTCATTGACATATATTAAATTAAAAATTTTTGGACAAGTAATGAAGATTTTATTTAATATTTTTCTTGAGTAAATATTTAATTCATGTGGCCTTATCTAGTTTGAAATCAATATGTGTTAGCATATTATGTTAAGCTTTAATACACTCTTCAACATATGTGAAATTGAAAGTAATCGGAGATATTTTGAAATCTAGTAATTATTAATTAATTTGATTAATTAATTTGCTCTAAGTGCACTATTCATTTCTTTGAAATTCCGACTTGATATTCTTGATGTGCATGCCATATACTTTCACACATATTAAATCTAGAATATTTGATTAGGTTTTGAAACCTTTCATTTAATTAATTTCTTTGTTTGAGATTTAATCCTTATGATGATATACAACTTGGAATTAAAGTGTGGCATGCTAGTAATTTAGGCCTTGGTATACTTGTTAACATATACTAAATTGGAATCATTTGAATGAGAATTGCAACTTTTATTTAATATTTATCTTTGGTGAAAGTTAAATTTACATAGATGTAACTTGCATGAAATAAGCTTGTAATGTGATATTATAATAGGCCTTGGTATGTTCCCTAACATATGTTAATTTGAGAACATTTAGATGAGTTTGAAAATCTAGAGATTTTAATTAAAAGGATTAATTAAAATCTATTTAATGGTTCCCTTGGCTTAATTAAGTTTTTAGCTTAATATTTGTAATGACCATGACTTGTTTACTAGCATATAAGTAATTTGAGACCATTTGAAGTTGCTTTAGAACCTTGGGATTTAAATTAGCATGATTTAATTAAAATTCCACTTTATTGCTCTAACAACCTAATTGAGTTTTAGAATGGATATAAGTGATGACCATATTATGTCCTTTAGTATGTATTAATTTAAGGTTATTTGGAATTGAATTGGAATCTAGAGAATTTAATTGTGTTTATTTAATTAAATTCTATCTAATTGCTCCATGGATTTAATTGCGTTTTGGAAGTTGTTTCCATGTTTAAATCATGGACTTTGACTTGTTGTGTATTCACTTGGTTACATTTGAGCATTTGATAACATTGTTGTTATATTTAAATTCATGAGCTTATGTTTTCAATGTTAAAAGATATTGTTATAGTGTGTAACGAATCGCACACTGAAGATTCGACATTTGTCATGCCATAATAGTTGTGGCCTTAGTACATGTATTGTATGTGTTTCCAAATTCGGTTGTGCTTGGTAGATAGTTGATATCTTGTATATACATG